TGTTCTTTAAAGAGGTCATTGTAAGCTGAGCACAGTGKTGCACTCCTGCAATCCCAGCAGCTCAGGAGGCCGAGGCAGGAGGATTGCAAGTTCAAGGCCAGCCTTAGGCAGCCCTAGCAACTTTAAGAGACCCTGTCTCAAAAATAAATAAATAAACAAACAAACAAACAAATAAATAAATAAATAAAAAGGGCTGGGGATGTGGCTCAGTGGCCCAGGTTCAATTCCTGATACCAAAAAAAAAAAAAAAAAAAAAGAAAGAAAGAAAGAAAGAAAAAAAAAGAGAGAGAGAGAGAGAAAGGTCATTGTGGTCCTAAGGTCAGAGTGAAGCATGGAGTCCATTGTAGGAGTTCTGAGGACTTGACCAGATCTTCCTGCAAGGCAGGGCATAGTAAGTAGCTGTGGTTGAGTCTCTGGGTTTTCTTTGGGGACAGATCCCCCTGGTGCTGTATGGAGGCTGGAGGGAGATGGRGTGGCTGGAGCCTGTGGACAGGCTGTGGGACTAGTCAGGACAGGGGAGGCTGAGTGTTTAAGAAGGTGGGATTATTGGGACTTAGACACTCGGGCGAGAGAGGAAATCACGGTTTAGCCTGTTGTTGAATTGCCCAGCAGGAACCTGGCCCAGGAGGGCCAGTCTCTGCCGTTTCAGCTGGGTGACACTGGACTAGTCTTTCCCTCCATGCCTTAGTCCCCCCAGCTGAGCAAGGTGGTCTCTCCTGCTCTGACTCAACAGGTCTGTGATGTGACTGGTCAGGAGGACAGACACAGAGCCCACGGTGTGACCAGCCAGGGCCTACTCTAGGATCATCAAATCTGGCCAGGTCGGCTATGGCCTGGGGCCAGTGCTTGGCATGGCTACTATCGGAGAGGGCACATCTCTGACCTCTGAGTGCCCTCCCCTTCACGGCAGCTGGGCCCTGTCAGCTGCGTTGGCCCGGCCTGCCTGGCTATTCCATGTCCTGACTCCAGCCAGGGCCTCTGCTCTCTGGAGAGGAGTGGCTCCAATCTGGGGTGCCATTGGCTAAACCTTGCCTGGCTGCACACACCCCTGCTTCCCGGGCTGGCTGGCTGCCCACCTGAGAGGGAGGCCTGGCCTGCCCCATGTGGGCAGACGGCCTCAGAGCCTAAGAGAGGAGGTGGGGGTCTGAGAGACTGTGCCTGGGGCCGCCTGGGCTGCTCTGTCCCCACCTCCTTTGCTCCCACCTCATCTCTGCACCCCTCCTGTGAGAGGAGTCTCTTGTCAGCTGCAATGAGGTCCTCAGCTTGCTTCAGGGTGGAGGGCTCAGCCCTGATTRGAGGAGCATAGTGTTTCTGTTTGATGGGGTGATGGTGCTCTGCAGCTTCCTGATTGGGAATCCCACTGGGTGTGCCAGGCCCCAGGCGGGCTTAGACCCTAGAATCCTAGAGCCAGTGCTCTGTACCTTAGGGAGTGGCAGTTCTCTTCTTTGCTGGTTCTTGCTTTATTGACCTCAGGAAGAAAGGGGCCTTGCTCCTGATCTCATAGCGCCTGAGGGACAGGCTGGAGTTTGCACTTAAGTCTGTCTCTGGTTGTCCTTCTGAAAACCTCTAATGAGGTCCTACTGTGTGCTAGGCTCCTCTAGGCTCAAGTTGTCATTTTATTCTTGGTGCTTGGCCCAGGGTCCAGTACAGAGAAGGTGCTTGGTGAATGAATGAATGAGGCAAAGATCCTGTCTCCAGGCACACAGAGTCTAATGGAAGGCGGGGTTCCTGTTTCACAGAACAGGAAGCAGGACAGTCAGGGATAGGGACCGCTCCGCTGAGAAGTAGGGAGAGAACTGGAGCTCAGAAGTCTGACTCCTGGCCCAGGGCTTTGTCCAGCTTCAGTTTCCTCATCTGTAAGATGGRTTGACAGTCCTGGCTTTCTGCCTGCTTTGTGAGGACTGGGTGAGGTGGTGGGTGGGATAGAGCAGGGCCCTGTGTGGGGCTTCCCTCTGTGCATGTCCAGACTGCCTAGGAACCTCAGATGGTTGACTCCCTTTATTCTGCCCACCAGTCCTCTGCCTCTTGCCTCCCACATTTCCTCAGTTCTCTCCAGGCTTCTTTCTGGACTGTTCTTCCCAGAACTCCTGGCAGTGAGAAGGGTTTGGAAAGAGTGTGSGTAAATGGACSCTGCCTGCCTCCTCCCTCTCTCCCTGCCCCTGCTCCCAGAAAGCCAGCTACCCGCATCCATGTAGGCCTCCAGTGCAGGGCCAGACAGGAGATGCCTTGGCAATGGTTTCCATGGCAACAGGTCCTRCTGCGTGGACCACAGTGCCTTCAAGCCAACAGTGAGGACCAGGAAARCTGGTCAGCCTGGCACTCCATGGGCCTCCGCCCAGGCTGAGARGTCTCAGGGCTGTGGCTCTCTTTTTTCCCAGCCCTGTGCTTACTACCCAGTGGCTCTTGGGAATGAGCTGCTTCTCTGGGAACCACAAGCAGTTCTGGGTCAGACAGGCCTGGTTCTATCACTTGAGGGGTCAAAGTCATGTTCACCATGGCTTGAACAAGTCATGTTGGTAGGTTTTGAATTTATGGAATTAGCTTAGGGTTGCCTGTGGGGGGACTTATCCGGGACACACAGACCCCCATCACAGGAGCCAGCACTGCTCCCTCCTGCAGCTGTGGCAGGCTCGCCATCTGATCAGGACGCTCTTTGCTGCTACATCTGAGGCCCAGGACCCTGACTCCTCATCTTGGCCTAGGAAACCTTGCAAGGGACTTGGTGTGGAGGGAAGGAGCTCAGACCGCTCCAGATCTCAGGGGTGGGAGCCAGGCTCTGCTACTTCCCTGACCCTCAGTCTCCTTATSTGTAAGATGACATACCTGTCCCACAGGTTTGTTGTACAAATGGAATTGAGTTAATACACGTAAAATTGAATTAATACACGTAAAATAATCTGCTAAGGCAGATTATATGGACACTTAAATGCTGTATAAATGTTAGCTGTGACTGTCGTCACCCCCCTAGAGTTGGCATTGGCTTGTGACAATTGGCTCCACGTGCCTGCCTCTCATTTTTCTCACACACAGGGTTGCCCAGATCCTGAGTTCACAGACTGACCCAGGAGGGTATCCCAGAGAGAAGGGACGGCAGGTTGCCTCCCTAGCCCCCATCAGAGGGGCTGATGGGCATGGCCCCCTGTCCTGCCTGGAGAATAAGACAGGGTGGGCTTCAAGCTTGAGACTCTACCTCTCCTGAGTGCATTTGAAGACCTTCCCTGCTGATTCTCCAGTTGGCAGCTGTTGCGGTCCTGCCCTGGATCAGACAGCTGCTCAGTGACTGCCCAGAGCCCTCCCAGTCAGTAGATCYGAGTGCCGGAAGGCATTAGCACCCACTGGAGGCTCCTGATGCCAACTGAAGAGCCCAGGAGCTCAAGAAAGGGCCTGTGGGGATGAAATCAGAGCTGCTTCCTGAAGCACTTTTATGGGAACAATTCTCAGCTGGACCACTGCAGGTTCACTAGCTCCCTAGGCCTCCCTGCAGAGAGTGGGGTCAGTCCCCTTGCTCCCTCTCTCCCTTTTYTTTGTCTTCATTATTGGTTCTTGCTTTATTGATCTCCTTTTAATTGGAATGTTTGCATTATTTACATTTTTAAAATGTACCATTAAAAAATATACAYACATGATATATTTTTTAGTTGTAGATGGACATAATACCTTTATTTATTTGTCTTTATGTGGTGTCGAGGACCAAACCCAGGGCCTCACACATGCTGGGTGAGCGCTCTACCACTGAGCCACAACCCCAGCCCCTAATTTTTTTTGGTACCAGGGACTGAACTCAGGRGCACTCAATCACTGAGCCACATCCCTAGCTCTATTTTGTATTTTATTTAGAGACAGGGWCTCACTGGGTTGCTTAGCGTCTTGTTGTTGCTGAGGCTGGTTTTGAATTCACAGTCCTCCTGTCTCAGCCTCCTGAGCCACTGAGATTACAGGCATGTGCCACCGTACCCGGCCGTTTTAAATATTTTTAAGTGTACAGTTTAGAGGCATTAAGCACATTTTCAATCAGGMAACTATTCTTACTAACCATCTCTAGATCTTTTTCAACTTCCCAAACTGAAACTCTATACTTAATAAATAGTAACTCCCTATTTCTTCCTCCCTAGCCACTGTCTGTCCTTCATTCTTTTGTTCCTTCCTTCCCTCTTTCTTCTTTCTTTTTACAGTACTAGGGATTGAACTCGGGGTGCTCTACCACTGAGCTACATTCTCAGCCCTTTTTATTTTGAAACAGTCTCACTAAGTTGCCCAGGCTTGCCTTGAACTTGCAATCATCCTGCATCAGCGTCCCAAGTTGCTAGAACTATAGGTGTGTGACACCTGACTGCTGTCATTCTTTTGTCTCTCTGGATTTGACTACTCTACGGGCCTCCTTTGAATGAAATCACAGTATTTGTCCCTTTGTGACTGGCGTGTCTTCCAGGTTCATCCATTGTGAAGCATGTATAAGAATTTTCTTTCTTAGGCAGGTGCCGTGGCCCATGCCTGTAATCCCAGCGGCTYGGGAGGCTGAGACAGGAGGATCACAAGTTCAAAGCTAGCCTCAGCAATTTAGCAAGGTCCTAAGCAACTTAGGGAGGCCCTGTCTCAAAATAAAAAATAAAAACAGCTGGGGATGTGGCTCAGTGGTTAAGTGCTCCTGGGTCAATTTCTCGTATCAAAAAAAAAAAAAAAAAAAAGCAAAACTTTTCAAAAGTTATCCCACAGGCAGAAGTGAGGAAGTGAAGTTTCTATATTCTTCTTCTCTCCTCCTTTCTCAGGTCCAAAGTTGTGTTAGCTCAGATTTGTTGGCCAAAAAGAAACAACACAGGTGGCTTCCAAGGAGCCCCTGGGGTCTGAGACCATGGGCTGGAGGGTGCTCACCTCTCTCCTGGTGGGGCTGGTGGGAGGTGGCCCTGGGCTGCTTCTCCTCTCCCTGGGGCCGTAAGGTCTCAGGGCTTGGCAGACCCAAGAACCTTGGGGAGAGCTGATCTCTCTGCCTCYGTGTTCTCCAGGGCCTCGCCTCTGTGTTCTCCAGCCGCACGTCCCGCAAGTCAGTCTCACGTGCTGGGGACGACAACGACATGGAAGAGGGTGAGGGATACCGGAACCCCACGGAGGTGCAGATGAGCCAGCTGGTGCTGCCCTGCCACACCAACCATCGTGGGGAACTGAGTGTCGGGCAGCTGCTCAAGTGGATCGACACCATGGCCTGTCTGTCCGGTGAGGCTACGCTTGGCCTGGCCATCTCCAGCCACGGGCCCCACAGACCCAGAGCAGGGGCCTCTATTCAGAGATGATGACTRTCCCCTGAGTGTCTCCTTTGCCCATGCTGGTCCATGTGCCTGAAGTGCTCTCCTAGTTTCCCAGTGCTCAGGGCAGCCCTCCCTCTCCCCCAGGGCCCACAGCCCTGGGGTGTTGGTGTCGTGTCCTGAGGCCCCTGCTTCCACAGTGCAGCCATGGACAGGGCTGCTTCACCACGGGCTTGAAAATGCCCCSAGCACCGATGGCGACAGGCTGCTGATAGTGATCCCCGTGTTGAGCAGAGCTGCAGAGCTCGCTTCATTCTCTTTGCTGTGATGGTGTCTCCAGCCCACTGGGAGCTCCCAGCCTGGTGGAGCGGTGGGGGGTGGGGGCATGCAGGAGGACCCCACTGCCTGTTTGAGAGACCCTGACCCAGCTCTGGGGACAGGGAGGGGTTTCTGAGGRGTTAGGGCACCTGAGCAGGTCTTTGTTTACTTTATTTTGATGTGGTGCCAAGGATCAAACCCAGTGCCTCACATATGCCAGGCAAGTAAGCAAGTCTTGAGGGTGAGAAGGCTCAGGGAAGGGAACAGGTGGGTGAGGTATGGGTGCTCAGGAAGTCAGGCTAGACAGCGTGGCATGATCAACCCCATTCATTCAGCAGCTGCTGGCCTGAGAGTCTGTGCAGGGTTTTGACCTGGGAGCCTCGTGCAGCGATGAGCAGGACAGGTAGAAATTCTTGCCCTCAAGTACGTCCCAGTCTAGCAGGTCACTAGACACAGGGAACCAGATCTATAAAACAGGGTCAACATGTGGTAATGGTGGGAAGGGTCTGGGAGAAGGCTGGGTGGCCTCGGCTTGGGGCAGATGGAGAAACCTCTTGGGGAGGTGACATTTGATTGGAGGCCAGTGACGTGGGAAGCCTGTTAACATCTGGCTTTCTTCTTCTGACGCCAGCGGAGAGGCACGCTGGCTGCCCCTGTGTCACAGCCTCCATGGACGATATCTATTTTGAGCACACCATCAGGTAAGCAGCATCTGCTTCAAGGTCCCTCCCTGCCACAAACCCATGGCCACTCCCCCATGACCCTGCCTGGAGTCTATCAGGCTTTTGAATATGGAAGGAGGGCAGCTTCTGGGGGCAAGGACCTGTCTGCCGGGTCTCTGGGCAGCAGTGGGCTGGGTCCCTCTGCCAGGGTGGGGCTTGGGAAGTGGTTTGGAGTTGGGCGTTGCTGAGATATCACTGTGGTCCTTCAAGAGCCATGCCATTCTGGGGAGGTCAGTCTTTCCCTCTGGGCCTTGGTTTTCTTATCTGAACATCGAAGGCATTAGGCTTGACCAGTGAATGCCTTTCTGAGCTTGGACATTCTCTGTAGTCACTGGTTTTGTACTGTAGGGAGGCCCCTAGGCAAAGTTTCTTGGCAAAGCCTGAGCTTGAAACTTGGCCCATCTCCCTGTGTTCACACACGCCCAGGTTGATAAGGTGCTCATTACCCGAGGGAGACCTTTTTCTCTTTCTAATGACTGTCCTGGTTACACTGTTCTGAGCTTGTCTTTGCATGACATTGCCTGTTGGTCCTTGGCCTGCTTCTGGGACTCCAGGAGCATGCTGAGTCCTCCACTGGGACAGGCTGCAGGGGCTGCCCACACAGCTCTGTCTCCAGCCTGTTCCTTGCTGGCCATCAGTACCTAGGGAGTCAAGTGCCAAGTGCCAAGGGCTTATTTGGGACTGCCTGGTGCTCGGTGTGTCCCGGTTAAGGAGAAGTTTGGCCATCCCAGTGCTCATTAGTCATTCACTACATACTTAATATTAGTTGGACTGGGGCCATGCTGGGTTTGGGGACACAGAGTCCATTAGAGAATGATCTCTGCTCCCAGGAGCTCCCAGACTGCAGGGGAGGCAGATGAAGAAACAAATTCCATTCCAAGTGGGTGTGGGGCCCAGCTCCACAAAGACATTGTGAAAAATAGAAAGTTCCACACTAATAATGTGAATTCTGATATATAGAGGCTTATCATACATTTWGAAATACTTTAAATTTCAGAATAGTTTTACATTTACCATGAGGTTATATCTCTGAATATAGTACAGAACTCCTATATATCCCACACCCAGTTCCCTGATTAGTAACATATTTATAGGGCACCTTTATCATAATTAATGAACCCATAACATCAATACCTTATTTGGAATGCCTTTTTTTTTTTTTTTTTGTACCAGGAATTGAACCAGGGCACTTAACTACAGAACCACATCCCCATCCCTTTATCCCTTTTTATTTTGAGGAAGGGTCTCAATAAGTTGCTTAGGGCCTCCTTAAGTTGTTGAGTCTGGCCTTGAATTAATTGTGATTCTCCTGCCTTAGCCTCCTGAGTTGGTGGGATTATAGGCATCCGCCACTGTGTCCAGCTTGGAATGCCTTTTTAATATGTTAATTTATTTAATCCTCAGAACAACACTATGAGGTCATGGCTATTAGTACCCTCATTTTTCAAAGGAGGAAACTGAGGCACAGGGAAGTGAGGTCACTTGTTTAAGGTTGAASAGCTGGTGGAGGACCCAGGAAATACTACCAGGCTGCTGGTCTGACCCAAGTCCCTGTTCCGACCAATGGGCTACATTTCCCATGTCTGTGGGTGAGRGTGGTGCCATGGAGGGTAGTCAAGGGGTCTTCCTGGAGGTCTGGGCTGGCTGCAGGACTGTCAGCTCTGTATAGAGCAATGCTTTGGAGGCCTGTGACCATGTCTGGCCTACTCTGGGTCCCTGCTGCTGATACAGGTTGTCTTCCCTGGAGGGGCTGGGGGTAGAGAGCACAAAGRATGGACTTGCTATGGGCCCAGCCAAGTGAAGGTGAGTCTGGTGGAGGGGGCTGTGGGTGGCAGGGAAAGTGGGGAGGGTCCGGGGGAGGGGTCTGGAGCACCGCTGGTGGCCTGGAAAGGCCTGGCTGCACCTGAGGAAAGCGGGAGAAGGTTTTGGTTTGTTTCTACTTTTGCCATTTAAAAATATTTCCAAATGTAGCTCTAAGGACTAAGTATTCTTTTTTTTTTTTTTTTTTTTTTTTTTTGAGAGAGAGAGAGAGAGAGAGAGAGAGAGAGAGAGAGAGAAGAGAGAGAGAGAATTTTAATATTTATTTTTTAGTTYTCRGCGGACACAACATCTTTGTTGGTATGTGGTGCTGAGGATCGAACCCGGGCCACATGCATGCCAGGCGAGCGCGCTACCGCTTGAGCCACATCCCCAGCCCCAGTATTCTTTTACAACATAACTTCAACACCATTACAACACCTAAAAAATGAACAGTAATATCCCACTAATATCAATGCCGTCAGTATTCAGATGCCCACACTGTCTCAGGAGTTTGTTTATTTATTTATTTRTTTGGTGGTGCTGGAGATTGAACCCAGGGCCTTGTGCATGCGAGGCAAGCACTCTAGCAACTGAGCTATATCCCCAGCCCCACCTTGTTTTAATTTTTATTTTTTGCTTTATCTTTGTCATTCAAGTCAGGATGCAAATAAGTTTGCAAGTCCAGTTGCTATGTATAAGTTTTTGAGGTTTTTAAAAATACTTTTATTTATTTACTTTTATGTGGTGCTGAGGATCGAACACAGTGCCTCATACATGCTAGGCAAGTGCTCTTCTGCTGAGCTAAGCCCCAGTCCAAGTTATTCCCCCCACCCCTTTCTTTTCTTTTTCAGTATTAAGGGGTCTTCCTGGAGAAGACCCAGAGCCTTGAACGCTCTACCACCGAGCTACATCCCCATCTTTTTTTCAAATTTTATTTTGAAACAGAGTCTTAATAAGTTGCTGAGGTTGGCTTTGAACCTGCAATCTTCTTGCCTCCCGAGTAGCTGGAATCACAGGTGTGTGCAAGCACACCTGGTCACTTTTTAAAACATCTTTAGATAATACTTGCTCATCCCTAACACCAGGGCCCCCTTAAGTTGTTGAGTCTGGCCTTGAATTGTGATTCTCCTCCCTCCCTCCCTCCCTCCCTCCCTCTCTCTRTKTTTTTCCCTTGACATTTGTTTGTTGAGGAACCTGGTATTTGCCCCCTAGAGTTCTCCGTTTTCTGGGTTTTGCTGTTAGCATCACTATGGAATATATACTTTAACATTTTCCTCTGTCTGCTGAGAGTAATTGGTCTTGCAGAAGGGCTTACAGGGTTCAGGTTAGTTTATGGGGAGCCACCCTTTAGCATTGTGAAGACTACCTGGAGGGTGTCAGGGAACTGAAGGCTTGTGGGGGGCCCCTGAAGGAGCCAGCGTAGTCTGAGTGCTGGGATGCAGGACAGTTGGGAGGAAAACAAGCTCCAAAGTCTAAGTGGCATCTGCTTGGCTTTGGGTGAGCTGGGGAGGAGGACAGGGCGGAGTGGAGAGAATCACAAATCTCTTTCTTTGGGTACAATTATCCTGGCGCCTGTGAGATTCTGGAGATCAAACACAGCAACTCATGAATGTTAGGCAAGTCCTCTACACTGAGCTAYATCCCCAGTCCTCTTACACAGAAAACAGACTTTTTTTAAAAAATATTTTTTTAGTTGTAGTTGGACACAATACCTTTATTTTATTTACTTCTTTTTATGTGGTGCTGAGGATGGAACCCAGGGCCTCACACCTGCTAGGTGAGCACTCTACCGCTGAGCCACAGTGGTAGTTACATCAGTCCTGCCTTATCTGTGGGAATATGTTCCAASAGCCCCTGTGGATGCCTGGAACAGTGGCCAGTACCAAACCCTATGTAAACTGTGTTTTTTTCTATACACACATATGATAAAGTTTAATTTATAAGTTAGCCACAGTAAGATATTAACCACAATAGCTAATAATAAAATAGAACAATTATAAAAATATACTTTAATAAAAGTTATTAAACTTTATAAATTGTTTACATCTGGAATTTTCCATTTACCATTTTCATARTGCAGTTGACTATAGATATCAAGCTGTGGACATGAGCCATGGATGAGGGTAACTGCTGTACTTTGGGGGCCAGAGGAAATTGAATTTTTTTCTTTTTTTTTTTGGGGGGGTGAGGGCATGTGGGATTGAACCCAGGGCCTTGTGCAGGCGAGGCAAGCACTCTACCAACTGAGCTGTATCCCCAGCCTTTTTCTAATTTTTGATCATGAAAAACATGTAGAAATCTGAGGAGTGAAATGGTCACCATTACGAGATCCATTACTTAACATTTGCTACATTTACTTTAACTAGACATGGATAAATAAAGACACAAACTTTCTCTCTCTCTCTCTCTCTCTCTTGGTTCTGAGCCATTTGAAGAGGGTTGCACAGACATCATGCCACTTTATTCACTTTATTTCCCACCTTGTCAGTAGGTGTCTCCTAACATGGCCCTCCCCCATGTGACAACATGAACAGAAGTCAAACATGCAGCACCTGAGCACATGCAGTGCTCAGTGGCTGGGTCAGGCCCACTCTTCATCTCTCCTGACCCTTAGAAGCACAGGCAGTAGGCACACACTCCCCATACTTTAAAAACGAGGAAGTGGACTCAGAGAGGTGAAGTGATTTTCCCAAGGTCACATAGCTTGGCAGTGTGACAGTCAGCCTCTCATTGTGCTCACTGTGGGCCCTTGGCCAGCAGGTGAGCTCGTCCCAGGCTTGGGCAGGAGGCAGTGTAATCTGAAGTTAGCACTGTGTTTCCATGTTCATGAGCCGAGGTGCAGAAAGGTAAAAAGGACTTCTCGAAGTCACACTGTGATTGGCCAGGGCCAGCTCTCCAGCCTCCTGTCCTCTCACCCCATAGCCCACCAGCTGGCCCCTCACTGCTGTCTCCAGTTAGGCAGAGGGCAGGCTGGGTGACTCCCCTGAGGATTTACCTGGACATGGGAAACATTCCAGAAGGATAGGCTACATTTGGAAAAATCACCTAGAATACTGGCCCCGTCACTTTTTAGCTGCATGATCTTGAACAAATGGCTTAACCTCTCTGATGCTCAGTTGCTCCCAAACCTACCTGCAAGGCTTATTTTGAGGTTCAAACCAGGTAATGAACAGTGCCTGGCACATGGCACTCATTCTTTAAATGTTTCCATTTCCCTATCCACCTTCTCTCAATATCCCCTTGCACTTAGTAGGCATTCAATAAATGTGGAATTTGTTAATTCAGGTGGCCACTATTTATTGAGGACCCACTCTATGCATTGTGCCGGGCCTTGGAGAGCCAATGGCGAGCAAAACAGAGGCCCCTGGGGCTGGGGGTGTGGCTTGGTGGTAGAGCGCTTGCTCCATACAACCAMGCCCAAAYGAAACAGAAGTACCTGGTTCTTTCYGCAGTGGAGCTTCAGGGCTGTGGGAGGCTAGTCAGTCCACTGGGAGGGGTTGGCGGATGACCCTCATGGGGACTGGAAGACAGGGAGGGCTGCCCCATAGAGCAAGCCACAGAGCTAAGAGTAGAAAGAAGCTCAGCTCTAACTGAACAAGGGATTGGGGGAAGGAGGGAGACAGTGACCCCAGGCCACTTCTCCTGGCCTCAGCTTGCCTACCTGCGAAGTGGGTGCCCACACTGTCTCCCCGGCCTGCTTTGAGGACTCTGTGACATTACAGATGGGAATACCTCCTGCGGTCCCTGAAGTCCCTTTTGCCAGTTCCCCCAGCAGATCTACTATGGTTCCCTCCCYGTCCCCTCTGGAAGGCTCACCTCCTGCTTTCCTCTCCCCAGTGTTGGACAAGTGGTGAATATCAAGGCCAAGGTGAACCGKGCCTTCAACTCCAGCATGGAGGTGTGTGGGTGGGCACTGCCTGGGGTTAGGGTGGGCCTTCCTCCTTCCCATTCTTCTTAGCTTCAGCCCAGGCACACTTAGCTGCAGAGACCTGGTTGGGGCAGCAGAGTTCTGAACTGATTGGCAGGGATAGGAGGGTCCTAAGARCTTCCTGTCCAACATCCCATAGCACAGACAGTAAAACTGAGGCCCGGCAGAGGGAAGGGCCTTGCCTTAGATCACTAAGCCACATGGTTTCCAGTGTGGCCCAGGCCCTCTTGGCAGCCTGCTGGGCTTCCACCCATTAGCTTACCTCCCTGGACCTCTGTCTTCTCATCTGTAAAATGGGAACATGGTTCCTGTGTTGCAGGGGTGGTGGGCAGGGGTGTTGTGTGGTGATGCACAGGGCCCTGTGTTCTGCGGGGGACTCTGCTTCCTCCCTGTGGACTGCAGGCCCAGGCAACCTTGTCCAGCTGAGCCWTCAAGGCTAGGACAGCAGAACCCTGACTATGCCCCTGGGCACTCCTTAAGTGCCCAGGTCCTGCCCAGGCTCCCCCAGGTGTCCATCCTTTGAATGTGGCCAACATTTTACCTTTTGTGGACACAGTCTCATTTTAGTCTTCTCAGTAGTCCTGAGAGCGTAGCTCTGATCACTCGCATTCTACAGATGAGGAAACCGAGACTCAGAGAAGAGCAGTGACTTGCCCAAGGTTCTCCAGGGAGCCAGGAGCAGAGTCAGAACCAGCCACAGGCCTCTGGCTTAGGCCTGGTGGGGGCTACGGGAACCCCAGAAGCCCAGCTTAGAGTGGCTCTTCCTGTCTTGTCCAGATGAGGGCCTCGAGTTGATGGGCTGTTTCTTCCCATCCCACTCTTCCTCTCCAGGTGGGCATCCAGGTGGCCTCTGAGGACCTGTGCTCTGAGAAGCAGTGGAATGTGTGCAAGGCCTTGGCCACCTTTGTGGCCCATCGGGAACTTACCAAGGTAGGTGCCTGCTCCTCACCATAGTGCTGCCTGTCATGGTGGGTCTGGGCCACAGCCCCAGGAGGAAGGCTCCTTGCCATCCTACCCTGGTTACCTCCTCCTCCTSTCCTCACCCCTCTCTGCATATCTCATGCAAAGAAGTTTTGTCAGCATTCCTCATGTTCACAATGACYCCTCTRTAACCTGGGACTTTGCCCARGAGGGGAGCTGGGGGGACGTCAAGRTGGAGRCAGGAAGGTGAGCCCCAGGAGAGGAGACTGCCTCGGGACCCACCAGCATCCCAGCCTAGCCGGTGCCAGCCTCAGGCAGAGACAGACCTTGTCCTGAGCACCTGCCCGCTGTGCCCTGGCCAACAGGTGAAGCTGAAGCAGATCACGCCGCGGACGGAGGAGGAGAAAACCGAGCACAGTGTGGCAGCTGAGCGCCGGCGCATGCGACTGGTCTATGCCGACACCATCAAGGGCCTCCTGGCCAACTATGCCATCCAGGAAGGTGAGCAGCCCACGTAGAGGGATGGCGGCCCGTGTCCTGCGTATCCCTGTGCTGGCCCCCACTGGGCAGAGAGGAAGGGATCCTCCTAGGGACTTCTGCCGCTGGTGGCCTCAGGTCTGTCTAGCCTTCTTGGCCTCCTGAGAAAGGAAATTCTCGAGCCTCTTACCCAGTGCCCAGGACCCCAGTACACAGAAGCCTAGAGCCTGGGAGCCATGGAGAGGGCCATAGGATACATAGAGATCCCTTTGTCGGCCACAAAATGCATTTT